CCCCTGTGTCCCCCCCATTCCCCACTGCCCTCTCACCCCCAGTGTCCCCTCTGTCCCCTCTCCCCCCCCGCCCATCTCACCTCTTGGGGATCCACGCTCGCTGCAGACACCTTGGGGACACCTTGGGGACACTCCGGGAGTCGAAGGAGCCTTGGGATGTCCTCGATGGCTCTTTGGCACCGCTCGGCCACCCCACTGGGGCCGCTGCGACCACCATTGATGCAGAACTCGATGATGTCCCCAACTGCCCCCAGCAGGTGATCCTCGGCCAGGCAGGTGTTGGCCTCCCACAGCCGCTCGGCCTCGGCCACCTTGGCCACCAAGTCCTTGGGGACTTCGGGGGACGGGTCATTTGTCCCCTCCAGGGCGGCCTCGATGTCCCTGAGGAGGTGCTGCAGCTGCCGGGGGAGCGCGGCGGCTTCGTCACACGCGGCCACCAAGCGCTCCAGCAGCCCCAGGGTCACCTCCAGTCGCTGCCTCTCCATGGTGGCCGTTGTTGCCTCGCTGGCAGCCACCCTGGCTTCGTGCCCGGCCACCACCTCAGCCCCCTCCTCTCTGCTCAGGGCCTGACCCTGCTCCACCACGTTTTCCTGAGCTGTCCCATCACGGGCAGCCTCGTCCTGCAGGCGCCTGGCCCGGGCGGTGGCCGCCTTGGTGTCCCCCTTGGTGTCCATCCTGGTGTCCATCCTGGTGGCCGCGTCCCCGCAGGCCCTGCGCAGCTTGCTGGCTTTCCTGGCCAGCCGTGCCCAGCTGTCCCCGAGCCCACGCACCGCCATGTACCACACGACGGCCACCATTGCCACACGCTTCCGCGAGCTCCGCGCCATGCTCCCGTAGGCGGCCAGGGCCTGGCTCAGGGAGGTGGCAGCGTCACCGTCGTTGGAGGCGACGCTGTGGTGCCAGCAGGTGCCAGCCGTGCGGGACAGGGTGACCCGGAGCTCCGTGGCGAACCTCTCCAGGTGGCACCGCGGTGACACGAGCGGCGTCTCGTTCTCCCCGGGCGCCGCGGCCAGCAGCTCGGCCAGGGTGGCCACCACGGTCACCTGCGGCTGCAGCAGGGCCGGCGACAGCTGGGGAGGGGACAGGGGAGGTGTCAGGGACCTGGTGGCACTTCGTGACCTCCTGCCGCGGCCTCTTTGTCCCTCCATGCCGTTCTCAGCCTCCTGTCCCCGCTGCCACCCCCCGTGTCCCCACATCCCCCAGGGCCCCGTCCCCCATCAGTGTCCCCTCTGTCATCCTCTCCCCCTCGCTGTCGCACCTCTCGGGGCTCCATGCTCACTTGGGGACACCTTGGGGCCACTCCGGTGGCGAAGGAGCCCCGGGACCAGCGCCGGGCCCGGCCCAGAACCGGCCCCGGGAAAATGGCGGAGCCGCCTCAGGAGGGGCCGGAAAAACCCGAGCGGCATCGGGAGGCGCCGGAAAAGGGGCGGGGCGAGGTGACGTCACCGCCCCTCACGCCGTACCGGTACCGCCCCAACATATGGAAAGCTCCAGGGTTGGGGCGCTTTGGCTGGATCCCAGGGGATTTGGGCTCCATCCCAGGGGATTTAGGCTCAGTCCCAGGGGGTTTAGGCTCAGTCCCGCCATTTCCAGGAGGATTCCGCCGTTCCCGGCTGGATTTAGGAGGGAACGCGGAGCGCTCTGAGGAGCGGGCGGAACTGCCCTCAATAAAGATGGCGGCACAGCTTCCCTGCCCTGAGGCGCGGGCCAATCAGAAGCCTCGCCTGGCAGAAGTACTGGCGGAAGTTCCCCCCGCGGCGGCGTCAGCGGCCACTCCCGGCGGAAGCGCGGAATTCTAACTTTATTTTTATTTTTTAATTATTTCAAATATTTTGGGTTTTTTCCCCCTTTTCCTATTTAATCGTATTTCTGATTTGGAGTCTCTCACCGGTTTTGCTTTCAAACCAGACCCATTTTCTAGAAATATTTTGCGTTACAGGTGCAATATAATTAAAATATAACTGTCATAATTATAAATATTTATTATTATTACTGTAATATAACCGGAAGTTCGCCCCGCGGCGGCGTCGGCGGGCGGTTCCGGCGGAAACGCGGTGCATTGTGGTCCCGGTGGGGCCCAGCGGCGGCGGAGCGGGGCCGAGGCCGCGGGGGGGTGTCATAATTATAAATATTTATTATTATTACTGTAATATAACTGTAATTATTACAATTATTCAGTATTTTATAATTATTTTGTATTTTTCTCCCATCTGGACCGGGGCTCAGGGTCGCAGCGAGCCGGGATTGAGATTAAAAAAGAACATTTTAAAAATTAGTAATAATTAGTTAAAATAAATATTTTTAACTTATATTTAAAATTCGTTATAAGGAATAACTCAATCATTTTAAGTCGATATTTTTAAATAATTTTCACTTCATAATTAGTCTCTTAATAATTTAAAATTAACAATTTGAAATGAATGGTGTGAAATGAGTAATTTGGAATTAATAATTTGATATTAATAATTTGAAAATAATGATTTGAAATGAATAATTAGAATATAATAATTTTATATTAATAATTTGAAATTAATGATTTGAAATGAATAGTTTGGAATTAATGATTTGAAATGAATATTTTTAAAAAGAAATACTTTACAAATACCTTTATTTGGGGACCTTGGGGACATTGAGGGGATTGGGGACATTTGGGGACATTGGGGGGATTTGGGGACATTGGGGACATTTTGGACATTGAGGACTTTGGGGACATTCTGGGACATTGGGGACTTTGGGGACATTTGAAACCTGTCCTGGTGTCACCGAGCCCCTCATGGTGGCACCAAACCTGTCCTGGTGCCACCGAGCCCCTCATGGTGGCACCAACCCTGTCCTGGTGGCACCGAGCCTGTCCTGGTGTCACCAACCCTGTCCTGGTGTCACCGAGCCCATCCTGGTGTCACCAACCCTGTCCCCAGTGTCCCCAGCCCTGGTCCTGATGTCCCCAACCCCGTCCTGGTGTCCCCAACCCTGTCCTGGTGTCCCCAGGTGTCCCCAAACCCTGCTCCTGGTGTCCCTAACCCCATTCCTGGTGTCCCCAACTCTAATCCTCAATGTCCCCAACCCCGTCCTGGTGTCCCCAAGCCCAATGCTGGTGTCCCCAACCCCAATCCTGGTGTCCCAAGACCCTCCAAACCCTGTCCCCGATGTCCCCAGTGACCCAAACCCTGTCCTCAATGTCCCAAATGTCCCAAACCCTGTCCCCAACATCCCAAACCCTGTCCCCAGTGACACAATGACCCAAACCCTGTCCCCAGTGTCCCTAACGCTGTCCCCAGTGTCCCTAACCCTGTCCCCTCACCTGTGACCTCCACGCTGACCCTGTGTGGCGTGTCCCAGGCCGCGTGTGTCACCAGGCAGCTGTAGGTGTCCCC